CGCCCCCGCGGCCACGCCCGCGCCCGCGCCCACGCCCGCCGTCGCCCCCGCCGCGGAGGACATCCGGCCCTCGGCGCCGCGGGAGCCCGCGTCCAGCGACGCGGAGGAGGAGGAGGACGGTAAGACCTCGCAGGTGGCGCTCGCGCAAAAGGGACCTCGATTACATTTACAGGCTTCTCGGAATGAATGTCACAAGCTTCTCGGCCTCGTACAAACCTCGAAGATGATAACATTTTGCCAATGTTTTCGAAATTTAATGAAACAAAGTTACTCGTGTGACGTGATTACTCATCATGCTCTGGTATTTATCAGGTAAACGAATACTTTTTCATGCATCCTTCAAAATACCAATTCGTGAGTTGTTGCCTCTTAATCAGGACCAAATCTCGGATTTGTAACTTCGTTTTATGAAAATATCTCCACCACAAGCTTACTGGCAAAATGTGATCTCCTTCAATCACTCTATATCCCCTAGAAGTATGTAAGTAGTTATTCTCCACTACTTTAGCCAGTGCCCGTAGTCGATATCGGTTCCCTGGAACCTTCTAACATTTTGTTTCGTCTCACCAAGTTCTAATACATTGAAGAGGGGTGTTAACATCGTTTGAAAGTGGAAGTCATTCCCAAGTAACTGCTTATTAAACCGTTCGCATAATATCAGAAGTTAGTTTAAAATACCTGTTACCAAATGGTACCTAATTAATTAAAAATATAAAATGTTTTCTCGCTGGTCTACTACAAAAAGTGACACACGCACAATCATTCATAGAGTTGCAACTATTAAGATACGTACATTGAAAGTTTCATATCGATGTGTGCATTGTCTCATCTTACTAAGCAAAGCGCGTGATAGAAATAGCTTGCGGGCACAATCTCAAAATGCAAGCACAAATGTGATTATTTTCCTTTCATCTTTATTTTTATTTAAGTGATATTATTTTGAATTGATAATTTTTTTCTTAAATGACAGAATTTAAAAAAATAAGATTTTGCTTTCATTTTCCCAAGTGCAAGTTTCTAAATTAAACATTTGAAATGGATATTGGAAACCCCACTTTGTCAAATCAGTTCGGTCTTGTTCAATTAATTATTAAATAATTAAAATTATTTGATATACAGATAAATTTCTTATTAACGTACGTAACTATTTAATATACGTTATCAATTTCAGTTAATTAAAAATTAAATACAAATGAAAATTAATAAAAATTGATTTTTGAGTCAATGCTTTTAATAAATTTCACAAAAGGAGTCTTCGCGACAAAAAATCGAAAACTACTTCTGATTTGATGGAATTTTGTCTGTTTGAGAGGCGCAACGTCGCGTCTTAAGCTGGTTTGCCAACATTTCGGTCACCATTGTCCCACCCCTTCAGGGCTAAACGACCTGAAGTGCTATACTTGTTTATACCTGTTGAAGGTCTGGGTATCCCGATCGGAATGTGGGCATCTCTGTCTAGGACGTGGCGACTCCAAGACGGTCAAGAGTTTCTGGTGCTTCCAGATTTCGATACCCAAGTCTTTTATAGACTTTTTTTTTAATCTACAGTCCCAATCGCGAGGAACAAATCGTAAAGTTCTTTTAATACAAGTCTTATTTTATCTTTATTGATACTTATCGACTCCCTCGCAACATAAAGGCACAAAATGTCCCTTGTTTCACTAAGAGAAAGGGCTCTGGAGCCCTCCGCTTGCCTTTTCATTGTACAGTAGAACTCCAGAAATCCGAACTAATTGGGGGTGTGGTCTGTTCGGATTCGGCAATGTTCAGATTATCCGAAAAAATATACCATACATATACAAATACCTCTGTAGGACTACCAGATAATGCAACGTAGCTTGCGATATGACAAAATGGCATCGTTGCGTAGCCATCGCATCAAGGAGATTCAGTTCCTTACGGTAGAAAATATTGCAAGATTCTCTAAGTGAAAATTACTGCTACATACTCATGTGATACACCCCGCAGTTACCAGTGCAATAAATGTTTCACTTCGACAACTCGTGTTTCAATAATTAGTTGTTCGGTTCTACAGTAACTATAAAATCCTTCTTTATACTACAAATAAGCATATTATTTATTTTGTTTATTTTTCCTCCAACTCGAATTTTGTTTGCATTAACCAAAATTTCGGATTAGCGAGGTTCTATTGTATTCTTGCTTTGGGCGAGTTTGATAATTTAATACATCGATTTAGCGAATAATATTCATTCATTTAAACACCAATTATTCAATTTCAGTCTCTGAAAATGAAACATTATCGACTTTCTCGCATCAATATTTGTAATAAACTACAAAACCTATTATATTTTTATGTCTAAAAAGGCCCATGTATCATTATGACATAGCACGATACAGTTAAATACATTTCTAAGGCTTAAAATGATATAAGTACAAATTAATTTTTTACATTTTTCTATTGAGTGGACATATTTTTACCGAGAGATAAAAACTATAATAACTACCATTATAACAAGCAAATGTGATAAATTGCATCATATTTTGATCAAAAAGCACATTATAGATAATATCAATGATATTCAGCTTCCTACAAAAATTAAAACCTTAAAAAACCATCATCGTGGGGACTCCATGGCTTCCCTAGTCAATGATAGGGTATTAGGGTTAAAGTAGATGTACTGCGGATATATCAATAGACACTGGTACCTACAATATCAAAAGATAATGCTACTCAAAGGATAACGTGCTGACCAGCATTAAAAACATCCAACGTTTTCGGAAAACCAACAATTGATACCTTATGGTTTTGACGGTTATGTTCTCTCAGTACGGCGACCAGTTATGTTTTTTGAAAGTTAGAAAGTAATTGCCCATGAGTACTCGATACAACATTATTAAATTATAGTAACGTCATGGCCAAAATAAGTGAACTTGTCCACAATCACGAGATATTATGTTGTATAAAAGATGTACAGAGGTCAAAGAAATTAATAGATTTACATAGGTGGTCTCTAAAGTAGAGATATTAATAAGTGAACACAAGACAGAGAAGATGAATTTCTTTACTGAAAATATCACATACAATCTAAATGTAGTGTAGGAATCATTATGTTTTAACTTTTGTGAATGCACACATTTTAGAAAAATCTCTTCATATCATTCTGCACTAAAGCTTTTTCATAAAATACATTTTGAATGAGATTGTTCTTGATGATTCACGTTGTTAAATGGAGTTTTTTGAAAAAAAATGTAATAACAAAAGGAACAAAGAAGAAAAATATAATTGTAAAATATAAAATTGGCCAGGAAGAACATACTTATTGTTCTTGATCTTCTGAGAAGGCAAATAAACTGTTTTGTCTCATAAATAAATTACAAAAATTTAATCGTATACAAATTTAGAGTATTGTATTTTTTATTTGATAAGAATGTTACGAATATATGAGTAAATATAAAAAACAAATATTTCCACATTTTAATTCATCATTATTTTTGTATCTGATTTGTATAAAAACTGAAATTCGTTTATTAATTTTGGAACACAAGATTCTGAAACCAGACCTAACGAATTGAAAACTGTGTTAGTGAATTGTTAATCAGTTATGTTCTACATGCTCCATTCCTGAGATCTTTTCCGACCAATTTATCTTTTCCAAAAGACCAGATTTTCACCGTGAGATGGAAATTTTGATACACTCCTCCACACTCGCCGAGCCCCTGCGAAGGATGGTCTCATGCGAGATATCGACTCTCGAACGACGCTTTGGGAAAACACTTTCCGCTCGACCCTTTCCATAGTCTGATGTCGGTTCGACTGGCAGCGATTGGAATCTGAAAGGTCGGTTATGCTGCTCTGACACGCTGCGTCAGTGGTTCCCAAACGCCGCCATTTCGCACACCACATGTACAGCCCAGGCTCCTGGCGAAGCCAAATTTTGGTTTAAACTAATCGGAGCACGTATACAGACTTGACATGTGTAGGGATGACAAGAACTGTGTCTCTTGTTCTGACAAGTATTACTTTGAGTAAAGTAAACTTCCATAATGTATGTAATACTAAAGATGAGTATAATAAGTGAATAGACGTTTGAATATTCCTACTATGGCTGTGTTGATAATTGAACGGTGTCTGTGCCTGGGGGTCATTAAAATATACGTACATGCAGATGGAGAATAAGTATGTGACATCTTCCACAAAATATCACGCTGCAGGCTGGCCTGTGAATCGAACTCGAATAGTTAATAACAGACGCATTTTGCAAACTTTTTTGTCAATTTGAAAATTTTATATTAATTGTTACATATTTTTATTCTCGTCGTCGTAATAATGCTTTTTATTAAATTCAGTTATTTAAAAATTTGAACCTCAAGTAAGACCTTTTTGGAAATATACAAAGACTGTAAATACATATTATGCTTGATATTTGTTATTACTAGCCAAAACAGTATTTAAAAGGAATGCTTTGGAGAGTAGTCACCTTACTTCTAAGAACTAAAATTCATGGAAATGAAAATATAGAAACGGGAGAGAAAACAAAGAGTTCGCGTGTTTTATGTACGCATTCTTTTAATGACCTTTTTGAGTTTACATAAGCAGTATTGTAAATTTAACTGAAATGTAAGATTTTGGTATTGCATACGCATGAATAATAAGCTACCATTACTACGAGTTGTTTCAGAAAAACACACAAACGCAAAGGAATAAAAGGATGAAGGTTTCGGTAATTAACCTTCGAATTCAAAAATTCGCTATGTACAAAAATTAGTTTGACCTCCTGAGAGTGGGGCTTAACAGAACGCAATCCAAGTCTGAAGAGTAGCTGTTATTTCAAGCCAAGAGTGGTAAACATTGCAATAGGAGTCACCAAAATGAGTTACATTTCAGGAGAAAATGAGAGACACTGGGTAGTGAATAACTATTTCAGTGTTATATACATTTAATTATTCATTTCTTCTTTTTAAGAATAATTGATTGAATTAATATGAATTATAATGCATAACTCCACAATAATTATTCATTTTCCAGTCATTACTGGATGGGACGCTTGCTTCGGCTATGTTTGTGCTTAACTCTCTCAGCCATATATAATACCCAGCCGTAGTATTTGTGTGCCCATATGACTACCTCGGAGGGAGTGACGTATTTTGACACAGCCCATCCCAGAGCGCCTACTCATTTGGCTCGGGGTTTATTGATGAAAACTTGCCCTTCTCTATTTGATCTCTGCATTTGTGCAGTTTTATCTGAAAAATTCTGTAAGTAGCTCCAAATGTTTGTGTTCAGATGAACCGTAGGAAATAACGGAAGCATAATGCATTATCAAACGCAGCCATTGGCTGGATCTCCTACGAACGTCAGTGGTTTGCGGACCATAGTTTGAGAATCACTGCACTCATCTGGTGTAATTACGCAAATGTTGTGTTCCCCTCCTCATTTGTGTTTCTTCTGTGTCCCGCAGCGCCGCCACCGTATGAAGAATGTGCTTTAGGATATCTGAAAATCCGAGATGAAGATGATAGTGAAAGTTAGCACAGCGCTTGCAGCTCTTCCTCTAGCTTCATCCAGAAACTCTAGAATGCTCAAGATATCGTCGACCTCGTCCTCAGACTATTCCAATTTATTCTTCCATTCAAACAGATGCATTGAACATTTGAATTCGATTTGGGTGCAAATACGAGGCTATAGGATTTATGTAGGAGTTTTAGAGACAATGTTAGTTGTTGTTTGTTTTTTTTTTTCAAAAATGTCTCGAACTTTGTTTGACATGTTTTATATAATACGTGGTTCCTGTATTTTTATTTAAATAAATATATCTTCCTCTCTCATCGCGCATTTTGTGCAATATTCCGCTTGATTTTACTCCAATTGCGATTGAATATGACTACAGTGTATGGGATATGTATGAAACTTAAAAAAGTAACCAGATTCCCCCAAATAATATTCTTCACTTACGTAGTTCACAATGTTATCAAGTTCTTTTGGAGTGTTACGCTATCGAGTTCTTTTAGAATTTTTATGAGAAGTTGATAAGCGACTAGATTCACTTAGCTTGCATACGTTTGTGAACTTTATTGTTCATTTATTCAGTCGTTCAACTATTATTCAATTACTAAATGGAGTCTCACGTCAATTTTCTGTCTCCCTGTCTGACCGTCTGTACGAACCAAATTGTATAGAAAACTACTTAATCTATCAACTTGAAATTTAAACACATTATACACACTATTGTTGGGATCATTTGTTTTACCGCGATATCCCAGCGGTTTCGAAGATGTGTTTTTTTTTATTTCCCCGTCCGTCGTGTTGTATTGCTCAGCTCGATGCTCCTGTTATAGAAAACTGAATGCACATATTTGTGAGAATATTAAAGAGACTATTTGTGTTATGTGCAATTTTATCTCAACCCTTATCAGAATGTCTACCTCACACATTAGTCGGAGACTGTTTTCACCTTTAAAACAAATATTTAAAAAGTTTAGAATGCTCTAACGGCTCCAGCTAGTGCCTAATAATGTAAATTGGCAAATTCTTATTTAGATATACGTTTTTTGTTATTTAAATGATTAATTATACTGTTTTTGGCTTCTCAAAATGACATGGTGTACCTGAAGTCGGCAATGTAAATCTAGTCTGACACAAATTTTTCAGATGAATTTCCTTACAAGATTTTTGTTCATAAAGAAACAAAAACAGCCGATTGTTCTAAATCATATTTCTACATAGCGATGAGTTTATTAACTCGTCCGTGTCAATGATTTCACTTGCTACCTACTAACTGAACAAGCGCCTCCTCTCTAGGATTAAAAAAAATAATACTGAGCATTTTATGAACAATAAATCAACACAATGGAGCCTACTATCTATCATATTTGATGTCTGTTTACTTTATATAGCATATGGCATCTAATACATCAAGACGATTATGTACTTAATCTCACCTAACATTTGCCAAACCTTTTAGACACACAGTGTTAAAGCGAAGCCTTCGGTGGATCCCCCTGCCCAGGGTTGCCAGATGTATTGAGAGCTTTTTCCCTACCCCTGCTATGGAATTTCCCCAATAACCTCTCCAAAGAAACAAAATACCTCGACTTTGAAACGAAAACTATTTTCCAAATTATGAACCACCCAAATTATGCAGACCCTGACGATTCCATTGGGCGTCCCCTTACATTCAAGTAATTTATATCAACCAATCATCGTCCTTTGAGCCTCTCGAAAGCCTATCATCGTTTTTCTCATGTTTTTCTCTCTGTCTGTCGCTAATTTGTCTCTTTCTGATGTAGAAAAAGTAGAGAATATGTGTTTATTCAGAATAATTGAAGAATAATATTAATATATCGGCTCCGAATGGAAATTATTACCCCAACAATTCCTCAAACATTTTCCCGTTTATTTACGTTCCCCATTCTTTCCCCACAACAAAAAAATCCTATTTTGGGAACAAAATTCTCCTATCTGGCAACCCTGCCCCTGCCATTGCTGGGCATCGCCGCTAACGGCGCAGCCAGCGCTCCGTCTTGGCAGCGGCGCGCAGTGGTACCATGGTTCGAGGACATTGATGTGCTGCTCTGCCGTACCGTTTTTGCTCCTTCTGCGCAGCACAAGGTCACGAAACACTGCTGTCCCAGTAGCATGGGCACTTCGTCTGGGCACGCCAGTTGACTGGCGGCATGGCAAACGAGGCGTGCCAGTGAGAAACTCACTGAAAGAGGTATAAAGTGACAACTGACAGCTGTGACCAACGAACCAATATTACGATGAACATGTAGATAAAATTAAAAATGCAATATTAAAAAAATATTCATATATCTATTTCAAAAACTTCTAATATGATGGTGGATATGTAGAATTCGACTGCATTTAAAATTCCCGCTAATATGTGACGTAAACTGGTGCATGAAGCTCATTGGCTGAAGTCGGATAGGTTGGTAACAGCACCCGCATGTTTGTGCGTTATGGTACAGACCACTTTACAACAGACCTGCGAACTCTCAAGTTACGTGACCAACCAGCAGGCGGGACGTCCGCTGATGGAGACCGAGGCCAGCTGAAAATGAGGCAAGTATCTGGAATATTGGCATAGATGATTGTGTTTTCAGTGAAGAAATATAATATTGAATTAGTCTGCGGAGTTGCGAAATGTTATTACTTGAACTTATTTTGAGTTTAATATATTTGATAAAGTTTGAATTTTTATTAGCAAATACTTACTTAAGTTATGATTCTTCTAGGTTATGAACATGTTACTGTTGTATTTTGTGTAATATATATATATATATGATTTTGATTCTAGCTTTTTTTACATTTTGTATTAAAAATAGCACAGATAACTTGAAAGGAATTTTGATTATCTAAAATAACAAATACATTGAAATAATATATTCTTTTCAATGTAATTGTATTTGTTACATATACAATTCCTCAGAAATAAGAACGTCAAAGGCATTAGATGAATAGAATTCATAGCAAATATTGCAGTTCACTAAAATTGCTCGTGTATGCATTAAACATTTTCCTGGTGAAATGATAGTTCGAAAGGCAATTGGAAGGGCGAAGATTGAAAAAATCCTGCAGTGACGTTTCAGTCGACAGTTTAAGGCCGCCCCACGCATGCGGTATTAAGCGAGTACATTTCAATTGGAGAAGAGTGCAGATGGATTGTTTGTTGTTTGCCGAGCGTCGACCCGTGCTACTCGCCCTAACCACCGTGCGCCAGTCATTTGGACACATCATAGGAAGCGAACTTTCGCCGAGCACATCATCTACTTGAGATTGGAACGCCGGTCGTTTGCCACTCGGCCAATGACGAATGTGTGAAGCCGCCTTTACCTCAAATGCTTTCCCCAGGGTTGCCAGATTGGGGAATTTTGTCCCTAAAATGGGTATTTTTTCATTGCGGGGAAAGAATTGGAAACATAAATGAACGGAGACATGTTTGAGGTAATTATTTTCATCCGGAGTTGAGGTAAAAATATTATTCTCACATTTATTGTGAGGAAAAAAAACAATAGTTATCATTTTCACTCATTTGTATGTATCAAAAAGAGAAAAAAAGTGTCATTAGACTTCGAGCAGCTTGATGGACGATGATTGGTTGATTTGAATTACTTCCACTTCAGGGGGCAGCCAATGGAGTCGCCAGGGACAGTTCACGCGGTTTTCCATAATATGGAGAATATTTTTCGTTTCAAAGTTGAGGAGTCTTGTTTCATTGAAGAGGTTATTTGGGAAATCTGTAGTTCTGGCAACTCTGGGCCGCCGTTGGAACGAAATGTCCGTTCAGCGTCCAACGGGGGAAGACCACCGCCATAGAGAAGAAAACATACACCTCACTTACGGGATTAATGAATTTAGCGGATGAGGCGCCTTGAAACTCGAAATAATCAATCAAAACCACAGTTAGAAATTTCCGCGTTTCTTAAATGTAAATTACATTAACGTAATTATCATGGAAGCACATTAAATTTAATGTATGCGTGGTGATGGCCTATAACGCATTGAAAGCCTGGCGACAGAAATAAATTACCAAGTTGTGCGTGTCACGAAGGCCTTGTGGCAACAGATTCATTTCTTGCGTTCACTCAAGAGGAGGTTATTTCGAATAGTTGTAGAGGCCTTGTTACACGAGGTGAAATATGCGACAGTTTGGCTGTAATAAAAAATGGTGCCAATAAAAATGTGTCCTCAATAACACTTAAACAATAGTTGTTTATTCTCTTCTTTCATATTCATTAGATAAGAAGGTAATAAAAGCAACAGGAAAAAATATTCAATGTAATATTTCGGCTGCAAAAAATAACCAAAGACAAAAACTTTTTTTCCAAAATTTTGAATAGGGTTCACATTATTTACTTTTGCAGACATGAATAACTTAGTGTATTCTATCTTACTGTATGAGCAACGAGGACTCAATCACTCTGTATCTTACAGGTTTGCATGTAGAAGCGGATCGAAAATTGAATTTAGTCGTACCAATGCTACAATACCAACATAATATTTTGGATAGTCATCTGTTAAGATTATTTTCGCTTGAACCTAGTTTCTTCCTCTTTAATCGTGCGCATGAACTTTTGAACTGGGAAAAATGTTTTTTGCATCTTGTAACAATGCTATCAGTTCTTTCACTTATCATTTTTTTATTAAATAAAATGTTTGGAACTATATTTTTATTATACACGTTTTAGAGTGTACTATTTTACATTGTACAGTTTTACAGTGTACACGTACTATAGAGTAAATAAAGATTACCTATAAATAGATGTTAACTGTTGCTTATTATGTTTTCTTTACCGCTTATTATTAGTTTTATGCTGAGGCATTTGTTAAGTAGCAAATACATGAGCTTAATATTTAAAATATTTTAAGTGCATATGTAGCCGATTTTAAGTAAATGGTTACATGCATATTTTTAACTTTTTTAATCCATGTAATTTCGGGGTTCAGTTATCACCATAACAATCTTAAACGCATTTGGCTGCAAAGAAAACTGAAACATTTATTCCAAAAACGGGTTCCATTCGATGTCATTCAAGATCGTGATATTATGTTGAATCCCAGGAAGTATTCTTCCAGTGTTCTTCTAGCGCAAACGATTACTTTGTATGTGAAATAAATATCTCTGAAACTAAATCAATTGTCACTAGGCGGCAGACACACCGTTATCTCAAGGACAGACTTCGGAATTTTCTTTCATGGTCCAATGTTGCAACTAGTAAGTCATCAGCCAACCGTGGATGAAGCAATTCGCAATTTTTTTTCTGTAGAGTTGTATTTAAATTTTTCATTTTATTGAAAATAATGTTTTAACAATCACTGCTGTATTTCGAGTTGAGTTTTCCAAATGACTACCGCTCTTGCACCTAAATTACTAGGATAGTTTGTAGAATAAAGTTGCAACTTTGAAGAGACTATTACTTTCCAAAAGAACTAAAAAATGTAATGATTAAATAATTCAATTTTAATAAATTTATTAAACAAATAGAAATGAATAGTTTTAATATAACTTACGGATTCTCGATTAAAGGAGGCAAGTGAAGTTTTGATACAATTAAATTAAAGTCTCTTGAACAAAGTAAATTTTTGGCATTTCAAAAGTATTCCAGAAAAAAATTGGGAACCTACGACTTCTCACTGATCTTGAATGCATTCGTTTTCCGCCGAGCATATCAACGGCACCAGCGTTGATACTGCCGGGCGAGATTATTGCATCAATTAAAAACTTTAATAAACAGGAAAAATTACCTCCAATACAAAACAACAATAACTTTATTCAAAACAATAATCAGACCTACTCTTCTCTACGCCTGCCCAGTATGGATCAATGC